TATGAGAACTTCAGAGCTTACTCACAAGTCCCAACTCTTAATACAATATTCCAGGCTGAAAATTTGGCTTGAGAAATGCTTTGTTGAGCTTATGYAACTGATTTACAGATCTACACATACTATGTATAAATACCATTACCCTAGAGGTTTAAAAGAGTTACTGAATTCCATTTCATACTTCATAATAATATATAATTTTTTTTTTTTTTCCAAATTTGTAAGACCATTAAAAATCACATGGATTTTATGAAATAACCACATACTAACTTCACCTTGGCACCTCTACAACATCACTTACACAGGAGAAAACTGCTCAGGAGGTGACCCACCCCATGCAGCAACCTAGTTTCACTCACTGCAGAAACCAGCAAACTAAGCAGGAAACAAAGGCATTTCATGATTTCTGCATGTCTGAAGAAAAAATTTCTTGCCCTTTCTTTTTTTTTTGTTTTCTTCTCACTTGCCATGGAAGATAGAACTCCTCCTTTGCTATAGTTTGTTAACAAAATCAAAGCCAGCCCAGCTCTGGCATCGGGAACTGAGCAGCCACAGCTATTTGCTCCTTCTTTTGCTGAGGTGTAGCAAAAATGGAAAGAGGTAATGAAGTGTTGGTACTGAAAACCAAAACCACAGAGAAGACCTCACACCAGACCCCTGTGAAATAACACCAAGGTATCCAGGACTCCATATTGCCTGAGACACTTTTTAGGTGATCCTAACTTGCTTCAAACCAACAAAAGAATRGGGGAAACCAATGCCCCGGATTATGTACTCAATACCTCTGGAGAGTGTGTTCTAGGGATTAATACATATACAGTAGGATAGTTACAGTCTGAAAAACAACATGGCCTTGTCACAAGAGAAACCTTGACTGTATTACAATATATTCAATKGAATATCTTATGGTTTTCTGCTTGTTTTTCAAGTAGAGTAATTCACTTATGTATGAAGAATAAGCTCTTGCTGAAGGTAAGGTCATGCCTTCTAAACCTCTTGATAAGACAACTTACTTTTATTTGAAAATTAAAAAAAAAAAAAATGTGGTCAACTTACTTTTATTTGAAAATTAAAAAAAAAAAAAATGTGGTAAGCAATAGGAAAGGAATTCACAGACTAGTTTGTTTTTAGAGCATAAATTTCTTACCACACATTGAAGGAGTTAATTCCTTCATGGACATATTGAGGCAATATAAGAATCCTCCTTTTTCTGATTTTCATGCCTGTGAGTACCATTTGCTTCAGAGAGCTAGACTATAAAACAATTCTCAAGGACTGTGAATTACACTAAATTGTTAGAGCCMTCCCTGGAATTTAGACTTCTCAACATTTTATGACCCAGCACTTGATCAGGGGAGAGGAGGCAGAGCACTCATGGATTAGAGCGTATAATACAGCTCAGTTCCCCCACATTTAACCCCCTCTTCAAGCCACMCAAAACAAATTCATTGCTCTGCAAGTCTACAGACATGGACAAGATGATTTTTATTTCCTTGCTAGTTAGAATCTGACAGATGGCATCCCAGAACAAAACCAGAGTTAGCAAAGCTCTGCAAGTGCAGSAGTGGATGGCATTTTGGGAGTGGGAGTCTCACACACTTTGTGGAAGACTTGAGAACTCATGGAACAGATGAACCAGAAAGTTGATTCATTATCTAATCCTCAGACAGATTCACTTTGCTTTGAGGTAAAGGACTGTTCTTTATAACCCAAGCATCTATTTTTACCATGAAATTCATAGGTGAAAATTGTTTGTTTACAGGATCTTGTTGGAACAAGAATTTACAAAGGACAGACTCAAGGCAAGAGCACACTCTGTTCAAATAATTTAAATTGAAATTTGTAACAAGTTGTCCTGAGCTTATTAGAGAAATAGCAAATTTTCAGGCACATAAAATGCAGGATGGATAGAGATGGTGATGAATAAAGATAGCAATGACAGAAACCCATAAAACTCCACAACTCCTTTAATTCCTAYCTATCAGATAACAACTTACACAACTCAAACACAATCTAGTTCAAAGTGAATAAAAATGCCTGCCAAAGTCATCCGAGTAGCCAAAGACAAATCCATCCTGATATCTAGACACTGATATTTTCAGAGAAGTGTCTCATTTAGCTTTTAAATTAATTTGAAATACTAAAAGTTTCAGCACTAAAAAAGTTTAGATTTTTTAGAAAGTTAATAAAGCTATAAAATTCTACTAACTATATATGCTATAATAAAAATTATGAATTTTAAAACCAGTGCAATTAAAAGCACCACTTTGTATTAATTATAACACTCCTGATACAATATTCTGCTCAGACAGCTCAATAGTCCTTTGATTTGCACTGAAAAGTAGCTTTCTCCCTTGAYAAAATGATAAGGAAGAGATAATTTTAACAGGAGACAAAATACTTAAAACACTGCTGCAAAAAAAACAATACTTTACTGAAATGTTTACCTATTATTCCAAAATACATTAATTATACCAGATTTCTTACCAGAACTCTGTATCTTTTCAATGACATAAAATTTTCTAGAGTTTACCACTAAACTTCACTCCACTCAGAAAATTCTCAGTACTATCAAAATATTAACCTGATATATTTCTGAGCTAAGCAGCAGGCTGGAAAGTTGTGTTCTTTCTCTGGTCTGAGTGTTGGGTGCCATTCCCAACTCACAGTAGTGACTTCTTCTTGTTACAGGACCCAGCAGAGAAACCAAAGTGTCAATCACAAGAACTGAAGACTGACATATATTTTATATTTTCTCAACATAATTTTAAAATACATAGAATAGAGAAATCAGATAAATGGAAATCCTAAGCCAAAGGGGGATACATAACATGAAATAAAAAGTAGCCATCAATGAACAGGTAAAGAGAGAAAGGAAAATTGTAAGGGTAAAGAGGAGATAGAGACAGGATCATGTTTACTGAAGTCTGTTTTATTTGAAATTATGAGTGCCTTTTATATATTCTGGTTCCTCTTATGAATTCATAAAACAGTGTTTTCTGATACATACAGCCAGAGTCATGTGAGACTAAGAGAAAATATGAAGGGTGTTGGGTTTTGCTTTTTTGTTTGCTTGTTTAATACTGAAGCATTAACTCTCCTACTTAAATTCCATTGTTTGAACCCTTGCTAGAGGAGGTAGCTTTGCTGTATAGAATATAAAATAAAATTACATGAAACTTTCTCTCAATAACTGAAAGAATGGAGAACTCTGTTCTCTGACTTCTGAACAAGACAAAAGATAAATGAATAAAAATATAATTAAAATTAGGCCAACATTTTATTTCCAGCATTTCTAGCTAAATTGCCTCTTGCACATGAAACAGATTTGAAAAGCTATACACGTAAATAATGTTCACTAACTCAGCACACCAAGAATGAAGAACAAGTGTGTAGAAGAGACATTTCTGCATGTCTTCACTCAGAMTCTTCAAATACAAGCTAAATACCCTTTTTTTCCTCAGTATTAGAAAGGAGCAGCATAAAGAGATTGCATAAACATAAGGATTATATTTTGTGTTAGTATTCAAGCATAAAATGCATAGAAATAAGAGTAAAGTTATTCAAGTCTTAGTACTGATGTATTCAACATCTTTCATGTTTTTTTTTTCTCCAATTTCCATTTCATAATTACCTGCTATCTTTTAAAAAAAGAAAATTTAATGTCAGAAAATATCCTTAGCTAGAAAACTAACATACTGAAATATATTGTCTCCTCACAGGGCAAGCACAGACAGCACAAACAGCAGCAGGAGCTGCAGAATTTGTATTCTTCTTCAGTAGCACTCCCTAATCAGAATGCAAAGAAATCATCTTTAACACACAAGTGGATCAGGAAGTCTTTTGCAGCTTTTGACCTCTTTTGAAAAGAACTGTAAAGGCTGATTTCAGTTTGAATTGTTTTTCAGGATGATCTGCCCTCTAAAACCTGGATTAGCAGTGACACAGGCCATGGAGCATCAGGTGTTAAAATCTCCCAAGGTACCATGGAACAGAGATGCTTTGAGACACTGATGTAGAAACATTACCAGGTCACCACATCAAATCTCCACCATCACACAAATCAAAATCATCTCCGGTTTCTCTATTTTTCTGTGTTTCCTTATCATCACCACCATGTGCTATGGACATGTAGATAAATTTATTTTAAAATYTAAATTAAGATGAAGCAAGGSACTCTAAYYTAGCAAATAGAATAAAWCTGTYACACAAGCTATTTYCTSTTTTTTTAGTTCTTAATTCTTCCAATTAAAAAATTACCCTTATGTAATGTGGAAAAAACTGGCCAAATTCCATCTCACATTCCATTTATGAGTTTGTTATTTTTTGTTATTTAAATACATTACCAAAAAGTATTTTCTACAGTTAGAAACCAGTGCATTGTACAGTGCATAATACATATTCAGTGCAAATATATATTCAAAATCTTGGAGTCCTAACAAGGTAATGTGGTCTGACTACTGCATCATTGCTGCTACAACATGTAAGGAAAAAAAGCAAGAATCAAAAAGAAGAATAGGCAGGTATTAAAAAATCTGATATATTCTTATTGTAATGTAATGGAAAGATGTTACAGTTGTCTTGCATATTCTAGTATATTGCTTATATATAAAAAGAAAGCAATTTTTTTTTTATATCGGAATAAAACCCACAGTTGTGACAAAGTAAGTCTACAAAAGCTTGTTAACTGTACAGAACAATAAATATTAAACTAAGATTTCATATTACTTTGCTATGCTCTAACGACAGCAGTAGAGCTTTTAAAATGTCAAACACCCAATTTGGTTTTTATGCCTTTGGAAGCACAGCACAGCATACCTTATGCTCTTCTATTTGACGTTTTAGGTCCTCTAGATCTGGACCCAAGGGCTCCAAATCGATTTTCTTTGTCCTTTCCTCTGTTTTTGTCAGCCAATCAGCTAACTGGGCTAGCTGCTGATTCTGCAGATCCATTAGGATTTTATGTAAACTGTAAAATAAAGAAAAACATATTTAGAATTGATAAGGGAAGACACCAACAGGCAGAAACATCTGCCCTGTATTTTAACTGATTTTTACCAGCTTACATTTGGAGGAAGAATAGAAATATTTACTTTCAAAGGGGAACAGCTCAAGCAGCATTTGGACAAYGCTCTCAGGGGCAGGATGTGACTGTTGGGGTGTCCTGGGCAGGGCCAGGAATGAGTGAGACTCCATATTCCCAGTGGGTCCCTTCCAACCCAGCAAATCCTGTGATTCTATGAAAGAGGTAACTGAATGTTCTTATAATAGTTTTGATGTAGACAAACTGTTTTGAAGCTTTTTCTTTCGAAACTGACTTCATCTGTTAAAGCATTGTCCTCCAGYTGCATTTCTATTAGAGMYRGACTTCAACATTTTTACTGTTTTTTGAAAGTTTGGGTTATCCACTACAAGTATTAAGAAATCTGCTCAAAGACCTTAYCAGTCTTCTTCTAATTTAGGATATTAAAAGAAGAAATTATTATATTTTCAGTTATTCAATGCAGAAWAATCTGAAAAGTTAACMAGGAAATRCTTCAGTTTTGCCTAATCAAATAASATAGATCCAAAATTACCTGGCCAGAAATCCATTACAGATTTCCACTTACATTGGTCTCTAGGAATTCTCTAAACTTCCCTAAACAAAATCTTCATCTTTTCAACTGGATTCTCAAAGTAATGTGTTAACTATTTCTGAGCAATTAAATTAGAACAACATCTTTGTATTATCCATCTTTCACATAACATACAATTTTTAATTTAGATTTGGCAGACCAAAGTCGCTGTTCCTCACTGACACTGAGCCTGATGAAACTTCAGTTTCCAAGTTTAACTTGGTGAAATGTTACAGCGTGTTATTTAATTCTCAAGCACAGTTCTTGCAGCAAAAAGTCAGTTAGCTACTTTCAGAACTCAAGTTGAACTTTCAGACTTGAGAAAACTATGAGGTAAGAAAGATGTCACAGTCCTACTCTAACTCACTTATTTCTCAAGCTGGTTTCTTGGAAATGTAGCAAAAATTAGAAGGCTATTATGATTTTCAGCTCTGTAACCAACCACACCTGGAATTACTGGACTTCACAATGACATTTCTCCCCACAAGGGTATTTAAAATAAATATATTTCCTCCCACAACACCTGAAGAAGTGCAGAGTGGCAGAACTGCAGCGTGAGTACAAGGCTCCAGAAAAGTGCATTGGTCCTTTCCATGAGCTGTTCCGCAAGTTAGGAAATGTTTGCACAAACCCAAACACGAAGTTTCTGTCACAATTTCACAATGCTCAAGTAAGGCAAGTACTT